AGGCTTTGAAAGGTTAAGCTAAGCACTCAGTGGGGAGAAAATGAATTTTTCTTTCTGCTCTATAAATGATCTAAATAAGAACTTGAAGTGAAATTAGAATCAAAAGGGATGGTAGACAACTGTGGAAACATCTGTTAGCTAGGATTTGGAAACTGATGGGGGTAGGGAGGAAGAGAGACTTCACATGGCAAAACAGTTTCCTAGGTAGATGGCACCTACCAGTGGAGGCACACAGAATGTGTGAGGAAGAGAGAGAGGAAGCAATCAATTTTTTAATACTCACCCAGCATATGCACTTCCACCAAATCTGAGTCCATCTCAGCAGTTGCCAGGTGGGTCTGGGCTTGTATGTAGGGAGAGGTCATCAGTAGAGTCAGGTATGGGAACTGGAATTGAGTAAGGCAGAGGATGCACCCCAGGAGAGGAGCTCCACTTTTATATTTGAGGTCTACTGATCAATGTTAACACAATCCTCCTGGGAATTCAGAGATCTCTGTAGACTTAGGATAATCCACCTAGGAATAGGATATACAGAAAGGTTACTTTTGCTCTAGTTAGTCCAGCCCCTCCCATACCTGCAACCCTTTAGCCAATACACCAAGGTGGTGAATAAAGCTGATTCCCTATGGATACAGCTTCATCTAATGAGGACTATGCTCAGCTTGTAAATGCAGAGTTTTAAATCTATGGTGTACAATTAAAACACCTGAACATTGTGTATATATAAAAATCGCTGAAAGGAAAAAAAGGCTGAAAGGTGGAGAGAAGAAAGCAAACTGCTGGGGGCCTCAGGCACCAAGGAAATGACACCCAGTGCAGATTTCCCAGAATTTATTTTTGCTCATAGAGTCCAGGCTTGGAGCTAGAAAAGCTGGCAACCTAGAGACATCAATGAGCAAAGACAAAAAGGTACCCTCCCCACAAAAGCCCTCTCTAGCCAAACACCAGAGATGGGACAGATTTACAAGTTAAAACTTTTCAGACAACTGCTCTATGACAGCCATCCAACACAGATAAATCTGTGACACTGCGTTCACCCCAAGGCAGAGTGGGGAGCCCAGACTTCCACCCTCTAGGCTGCAGTGAGGGCCCCCAACTCTCCCACTGGGATGGTTTCAAAGAAGATTGAGTAGGCAACTATAAAGATGGAAAGTTTTATAATTTGGGGGACATTGACATATTTACTATATTGGGTCTTTCAATCCACGAGCATGATATGTCACTCCATTTATTTAGATCTTCTATTATTTTTTTGTATAGTGTTCTATATTTTTTTATTTTATAGTATTTACCATAGAAGTCCTATATATACTTTGTTAGCTCTATGAGCATTTTATGTGATATGAGCCTCCATGTGATAATTTCTAGTATATAATAATTCAGTTTCTGTTTGTCTTGCATCCTGTAATCTTACTAAACACACTTATTAGTTCCAGGAAGTTTTTTTGTTCTGCTTTTTAGATTCATTAGGATCATGTACATATACAATCATGTCATTTGCAAAGATAGTTTTCTTTCTTACTTTATGATCCATATTTCTTTTATTTCCTTTTCTTGCTTTATTGCATTGACTATAATGTCTAGTAGTATGTGAAATTAGAACAAAAAGAATTTATATTCTTGCCTTGTTCCTAATATAGTATAAAGGTGTTCAGTCTTTCACTATTGAGTATAATGTTAGCTGTACATTTTTTCTGGTATATGTTCTTTATCAAGTTGAGGAAGTTTCCTTCTATTACTATTTTTCTGAGAGTTTTCATGATTCATGCATGTGAAATTTTGTCAAATGATTTTTCTGGATCAATTGAACATATGATTTTTCTTTTTTAGCTGGGTGGATCACATCTATTAATGTCTGAATGGTGACCCAGCCTGTAATAAATCTACTTGATCATGTTGTTAATTCCTTTCATATAATGCTGAATTATATTTATAGTAGAACCTCTTTCTATAATAGAACCTCTGTTAAGTTGTCCACCCAAAGGCCTGGTCAACATACAGAGGTGGTCAATATTGGGAGTCAGGGGTCCCAGTTCCCCAACCCCAGTTCACTTGGTTTGATTACTTGGCAGAACTAAAAAGTTCAACTGTTGCAAGTATGAATCAAAAGTGAAAGTAGGTAGAAACTGAAAGTAAAACTGGAGCAGCACAGGCAGTGTGAAATAGAAAGCAAAAGTCACTTGAACAAGCTTTAACATAAGAAAGAGAAATTTTGTTTACGAGCAAAGAGAGAGTTTAGAGCACCTCCAGAGACAGTTGGAAGTGGGTTCCTCTGATGAGTGAGAAAAGAGAGAAAGACAGATGCAAAGGCAGTAAGAGGTATGAATACACCTCTTTCTCTCCGTTTGAAATTGTTTTTAACTCTTTCATTGGTCTCTCTGTATCTCTAGGCATTATTGTTCTTTTCTATTGGTCACTGATTATTGTCCTTTTCTATTGGCCATTGGTTACCTAGGTTACCTCATATCCACATTCTTCCCCTCCCCCCCTTTTTTTTTGAGACAGGGTCTTACTTTGCTGCCCTTGATGGAGTGCCCTGGCTTTACAGCTCATAGCAACCTCAAACTCTTGGGCTCAAGCAATCCTCTCACCTCAGCCAACTGAGTAGCTGTGACTACAGGCACCCATCACAATACCTGGCTATTTTTAGAGACAGGGTCTCTCTCTCTCTCTCTCTCATAGGCTGGTCTCAAACTCCTGACCTCAGGCAATCTACCTGCCTCGGCCTCCCAGAGTGCTAGGATTGACCTGAGCTACCATGCCTGGGCTTCTAATTTCTTTTTCTGAAAATAAGAGACCTGACTCTTACTGTGCAACATGGAATCTATACTTGATCAGTCTTCCCTTTGTGTAACCAGTCTTCCATCAGCACTGCCATTCAGCCCTTTGCACACCCCCTATTCAGCCTGCTCAGCTTTGATACCCTATTATGTGCCCTTCTATGTAGATACCCTTCCTTGCCCTATTCAGGCCCTATCATTGCCACACTAGGCTTTCCTCCCACCTGGATGCCTTTCTCTCCTCTCAGGATTAACACTCTGTCAGGTAGCCCTCAGTAAGTGGATTTGTTCCTCACAGCTGCTTGTGCTCTGGCTTTGGTCTGCTGATCCCTGTAAATGTCCCCTTCATCCAACTTGAACTGACACAAAATGTCAGTATACCTTCATTGTGTACAGCTTCTGACTTCCTCTGTCACCAATGATGCCCTCCTTGTCCTGCTTGATATGATATCAATTTCTGAGAAAACCTTGTTTTATGTGGACACCTCTTCCCATTTCCTGGGTTCTGTGCTGGGCATCCCTACTGTGCCAATGCATTCCTACCCTGCCTTGAAGTCCTCACTTGGCTCTGGGCCATGATGATTCTTTCCCCCTGCTACCTCTACATTGTACTGGCTACCCAAATGACTCTCAGACTGAATGTTTCAGGGTGTAAATGAAAGAAAAAAGATGTGAAGCCCAAGACAAAACTCATTTTAATAAAAAAAAAAAGTGCAATCTGTACAAGAAATGTCTCAATTACTGGGTAAAATGTGCTTCAATATTTCCTCCCAAACCTCAAGGAAACTTACATAACCATGTGGTGGGTAAGAGAGGGCCTATCTGCAGTGATGATCTGTGACTGGCCTGGTCTTATGTAACATCCTTGCACAGGACGGTCCCTTCCCAGGAGACCATCCATTGACATCCCAACTCTGACAGCCCACCCTTTTAAATCTGTGGAGTCAGGGACATGGCACTCAGCAACAAACTAAGGGGAAATATAAAAACAAAAATGAGCACCCAACCAAGAATCACCAAGCTTTGGATGAAACCAATAGCATGAAGAAGTGTCCTAAAATCCACAGCAAAACATAATGGCCAAGGGAAAGACTTGACAATGCAATTTAAAGAAATGAATTTAATATTCCCAGGTGATGGGAGAAGTAGGCTATTCATGAAAGAAAAAGAAAAACCACTGTTAAAAAGAGACATTTATGAACATTAGAGAGGGAAAACACAGCTGTCAAAATTAAGACCCAATGGATAGAAAAAAGAGCAAGATGGACATAGTAAAGTGCAGATTATTGAGCAGAATGCTTGTCATTGAGAAATTCTTCCAAACACAGAAGCACAAAAAAGCAGAGAAATGGAAGACCCACCAACTTCCAGTATAGGTCTCCCTATACTGAGAAAGTAAGTATAGGAAGTAGAGGGAAAGAACAGCTAAAACATTGATAAGAGGATTTCCCATCATTGATGAGAGTTCTTAAAGAGATTCAAAATGCTGCAGTAAGCAGAGAAGCCAGGAAAATTTAGTCTTAAGTCTAAACACAGTTTGGCTGTAAAAAATTTAATATCAGTTGAGAAATAAAATTCCAGATGCCAACAATGAGTGACTGTTGTAGGAGCAGGTGAAGGGAAAGGAACTAGGCTAAAGTTCTTGCCTGATTTAAGGCAAGATGACAAATAACGATGTGCTCCAGATGTTAACAACAAATGTAAAATAACATATATACAGTTGGTCACTGAGTTACAACTTACAGAATTCCATCCTTATGAAAGGGCTCCCAAGACTCCACATAAGGGTATTTTAAAATTAAATACAGTACAAACCCTGTAAGTTGACCACCCAGGGGACTGTAACAAACTATTCAACATACAGAGGTGGTCAACATAAGGAACTAGGCCTACTGTACTGATACATACATGTGGTATCCATCTGGTCTATGAAAATTAGATCAACCATAAGGAGGTGGTCAACATAGGGAGGTGATCAAGCATGGAGGTTCTACTGTAGTTACATTAATTACTCAGAGGGTTCCCCAGCGGCTGCCTCCTCCAGTTCCAGGTGTGCTCTGGTGGCATCTACCCTACAGGCTCCCGGCAGCACACAGCCACCAGCTCTGAGATTCTGCGGGGCTGTTGGAATCCCAGGACCATGCCTGGGGGGCTCAGCCGGCACCACCCTCTACCCTCCCTACCAGTAGGCCAATTCCCTTATTAGCATACGGTGGGGAAATGGTCGTGCTTTCGGTGCCCACGGAAGTCTCTGTGATCCTGTTAGATATCAAAGGTACCACAACCCCAATTGCTTTCGTGAAGGACATTTTATTTCCTTACATCAAAGAAAATGTTAAAGAGTATCCGCAGACACATTGGGAAGCAGAGGAGTGCCAACAAGATGTCAGTCTTTTGAGGAAACAGGCTAAAGATGCCCACTTGGATGGGGCTGTTCCCATCCCTACAGCATCTGGGAATGCAGTGGATTACCTGCAGCAGATGATCCAGGCTGTCATGGACAACGTGTGCTGGCAGATGTCTCTGGACCAAAAGACTACTGCCCTCAAACAGCTGCAGGGCCACATGTGGCGGGAGGCGTTCACTGCTGGGCGCATGAAAGCAGAGATCTTTGCAGACGTAGTTCCAGCAGTCAGGAAGTGGAGAGAGACTAGATTGAAGGTGTACATCTATTCCTCAGGGAGTGTAGAGGAACAGAAGCTGTATTTGGGCATTCTACAGAGGAGATACTCTTGAGCGTGTTGATGGTCACTTTGATACTAAGATTGGACACAAAGTGGAGAGTGAGAGTTACTGGAAGATTGCCAACAGCACTGGCTGCTCAATTTGTTTCTGACAGATGTTACTCCAGAGGCCAGCACTGCCAAGGAGGCAGACGTGCATGTGACTGTAGTGGTGAGACCCGGCAATGCAGGATTGATGGATGACGAGAAGACTTACTATAGCCTCATCACGTCCTTCAGCAAACTCTACCTGCCTTCCTCAAACTAGAGGAGCATTTCTAAGGAAGGCCATGCTGCCTCACAGAGTTGTCCCTGTAGTGTATGGTTTTATTCTAATGGTAAAAGTAACTCACTTTAAAAATACGCATATATACACACATGCATGTGCAAATATATGTATGTATATGCTCACATTAACTTCCATGGGCACGTAAGTGAGAAAAAAGACTCAGTTCAGTGAAAATGAAACTTACTTAAAGATGCTCTATATCAGTGGTTCTCAACCTGTGGGGGGCGACCAATGAAAATACATCCCACATATCAGATTTACATTACGATTCATAATAGTAGCAAAATTACAGTTATGAAGCTAGCAACGAAAATAATTTTATGGTTGAGGGTCACCACAACATGAAGAGCTGTATTAAAGAGTCACAACATTAGGAAGATTGAGAACCACTGCTCTATATGTAGAAATTATTTGAAACAATACTCTAATCCAGGGGTGTCCAACCTTTTTTTTCCTGCTGTACATTGGAAGAATTGTCTTGGGCCACATAGTAAATACACAAACACTTAGCAAAAGCTAATGAGCATAAAAAAGGTCTGTGTATAATTTGGGGGATAGCTGACACCACAGATAAGCAAAACAGACCTCAAATAATCCACACACAGCCCATGGGTCACAGGTTGGACACCTTTGCTAACTCTTTTGCAGGCACAGTGCAGTTGATAGAAGAAATTGCTAACATACATATCTAATGTGTTAACTGTATCAAGCTGTGTACCAAAATGGAAATCTAGGTTTGAAAAATTATTCAGAAGCCTTGTTTTAAAAACTGAAATTATTTCCAAGACTTATTTCTAATAGTAATTCTTTGCCCTACTCCTGTTCATTTCTGAGTTAGAAATTACAGACGCTGCCTTTCATATTTATCTCCCTGTATACATAAGACAAAAAGTATTTTGTTTCTGCACCAAAAGAGAGCAAAATTGGGAAAGAAACTTCAAGTCTTGATCAATCAAGTATCTGTCACTTAAGAAGAAAATTGCTAATTATTGTGACACCCACAGCAAGCAGGTGCCTTACCAGTGAAAAAGGTGCACCTACGTAACTGGCGAAAATAGAGATGCGGTTCTCAATGTTTAACGAAATAGTTCTAATTCTTTTTTTTTTCCACATGAAAAGTCTTTATTAATCCTCTTGTGAAAAATCTATACAATGGCTGCAGATAACATCACTGGAGAGTCTTTACTCCTTCGCCTTTTTGCCAGCACCAACATTAGCCTTTGCGGTGCCCCTGACTTTCTTCATTCTGTTCTTGTGTTCCTTTCGCTGCTTTCTTGATGTCTTTTTCTTCTCATACAGGCCATGCCTTGCAAGTCTATGTTTGGGTTCATTTTTCTTTGCATAATCCAAGGAATCATAAATCATGCCAAAGTTCGTTGTCTTCCCACCACCAAAGTGAGTTCTGAATCCAAATACAAAGATGACATCAGGTGTGGTCTTGTACATTTTGGCTAGTTTTTCTCTAATTTCTGTCTTTGGTACTGTTGCCTTCCCAGGGTGAAGGACATCAATGACCATTTGTTTCCTCTGAAGTAGTCAGTCATGAACTTCCTGGTCCGGATAGTTACTGTGTCGTTCATGATGGCGGGCCGAAATAGTTCTAATTCTGCCAGTTATGATCTTTATAGATCTTACAGTTAGTTGCCTTTCTAGCTACTTCTTAGCACACTTAGAGACTATATGGTAAATACTATTTACTATTAATAAAAAAAGGTATTACTGAAATCGGTCTATAAGATCAAGAAAAGCCCCTATCTGTAATATTTTCCTGTGAAATGGATGTGAGAAATGTAAATTTTATAGCAGCACTATTCATCTTGGTTGAGTTCTAATGAGGTTGTCTTGCCAATTTCATGTTGTGATTAATAAAAGTATTTTCTTCTTCAAAAAAAAATTAATTACTCAGTACCTCATTTCATCTATGCATATAAACAAACCTGCATGGTGAAGCAATTTGTTGGTGCAGCATCTTTATGCTAACAACTAGTCTCGTTGTTTATACTATCACTTATGCACAACATCACTTCTGGCTTAATGTTTTTATTTGATTTTGTGAACCTGTGTTTACTCTTAGGTTTCTGCCTCCAAAACCAAAGCCCATTGCAGGTGAGCCTACAGCAAAGAGAAAGGTGATCACAATGGAAACAGAAGTAGAAATAATTAAGCGTTGGGAGATAAAGCCAGATGTCATCATTTATTGGGAAAGCATTAGCCTTTAGTCACTCAACTATTGGAACAACTTTAAAGGATAAAGTGAGAATAATGGGACATGTGAAAGGCAGTGCCAATGAAATCATCAATTATTACTAAGCAGTGTAGTGCATCAGTTATTAAAATAGAAAAGTTATTATTAATTTTGTTAGAAGATCAAAATAAACCTAACATTTCCTTCTTTTTTTTTTTTTATTGAGACAGAGCCTCAAGCTGTCGCCCTGGGTAGAGTGCTGTGGCATCACAGCTCACAGCAACCTCCAGCTCCTGGGCTTAAGTGATTCTCTTGCCTCCGCCTCCCAAGTAGCTGGGACTACAGGTGCCCACCACAACGCCTGGCTATTTTTTGGTTGTAGTTGTCATTGTTGTTTGGCGGGCTGAGGCTGGATTTGAACCCACTAGCTCTGGTGTATGTGGCTGGCGCCTTAGCCGCTTGAGCTACAGGCACTGAGCTCTAACATTTTTCTTTGTAGTGTTGGTACAACATTAGGTGAATGCTAACTTGTAATATTCTTTTTTGAATTTCTCCTATCCCGTACCTAAACTTTTTGTATTAATTTATTTTTATGTTTTGTTTGAATTAAAATAGCACAATAGTTTCTTCAGCCATCCATGTAAGTGGTCACATGTTGAATTTCATCAGAAACTGCCAAACCATTTTCCAGAGTGGTTCTACTGTTTTACACCTTTCCATCAGCAGTGTATAGAGATCCAACTATTCTGTATCCCTGCCAATATTTAGTGCTGAAATTATTTATTATTTTAGCCATTTTCTAGGATATTCTGAGGATACCTCATTTTGGTTCTCATTTTTATTTCCCTCATGACTGATAATGTTGAGCGTCTTTTCACATGCTGCTTAGCCATTGATAAAACTCCTTTCGTGGAGCACTTGTTTAAGAATTTTGCTTCAAATTCATTCTTTCTCTTTGTGATCTGGTTCCATTGTTTGATTGAACTAAAATCCATGTAATTGAATTCCCTATTTATAGGGTTTAAATGGTCTCAATTTTATGTTTTATCAACCAGAATATAATAATTAACTATTAATACAGTAGAACATACATAGCTGACCACCTCTCTACACTGACCCACCTCTTTAAGTTGACCTATTTTCATAGACCAGATATACACCATATGTATTCAGTGGAAGATTAACCTCTATATACTGACCACCTCTGTAAGTTGTACCTTAACCACTTGGATTGTGACACACATTAATTTAACTCTGTAACTTGACTAGTTGAGTCCACTCTACACCAAGGAGTAGAAAGTGTGCACTTTGCCCCTTAGTTGTATTATTTTTCTTTAGTATAAGTTCTTTTTTCATGTTTTATTATTACCATGTGCTGGATAGGCCAAGTGTCCTATTATTTATCATGGATTATGGAAGATTTTTCTAGTGTGAATGACTGATCTGAATTGTTGGTACACACTACAATTACTGGAAAAAATTATAGTTAATGAAGACATCATGGCCCAAAGGAAAAAACTCAAAGAGCTGACATGGAAGGAAAATATTAATCTTCTACATTTTCTGGAAAGCAACAATCAAAGAAAGATAGTGGAACATTTTGGTGTTAATAAGACCACAATTAGCAACATCCAAAAATATAAACATGAGTATTTGAAGAGATATGGTTAGCAAAGTGGAGACCTACACCAGAAAAGAAAGGAAATTTTTCTGGCTGACTCAATGAAGCCACATTAACCTGGTTCAAACAAATAAGGGCAGTGTATGTCTGAATTTCTGGGCTGATGATCCAAGAAGAATCAAAAATTTTTTCACAGGAATTCAGGGCAGAAGTTTTCCAAGCATCAAGTGATTGTCTTAAAAAATTTAAATTGTGACATGCAACCTCCCAAAAAGTCTTATGTGGTGAATCCGATGAAGTTCCAGTACAAGTTGTGGAAGAGTTCATCAAAAAGTTCCCAGATTTTTCCAGAGGCTTCAAAGATGATGATATCTTTAACACTGATGAGTGCAGACTCTTTTTCAAGATGATGCCTGACAGGAGCCTCATCATGAAGTGGGACAAATGTTAAGAGTGGAAAATTTTCCAAAGAAATTTTCACAGTTATGCTTTGTACTACTTTGACTGCAGAGAAACTAAAGCCCTTGGTAACTTGTAAATTGGCAAAGCCACACACCTTAAAGAATCTGAAGCCTGAAGATGTCCCTATCACTTGGAGATAAAACAAATGTACATGGAAGGCTGGTGACACAGTTGTGGAGTGGATAAAGGGTATAGACTGAGAAATGAAGAAGGAGAAATGATCTATTCTATTGATAGTAGACAACCGTCCTGGCCACCCACAAGTGAGTGATCTCACAGATGTGACAATGAAATTTCCACCTCCAAACACAACCTCAAAAATCAAACCTCTTGACATCATCAAAACATTAAAAATGCACTACTGAGATACACAGAAATAAGATGGCCAACTGGAGCTAGCTTGCGACAGAGGGTCTCATCTAGAAGGAGAGACAATGGACAGAATGAACTCAAGGAGGCTGAAGGTCAGGAGCAGGGCTAAGAAAGAAGATTGATGAGGCAACCTGGATGGCTTGAAGCCCGGCTCCCTCCAGTGCTCAACGGAAACTGGGGAGTGTTCCACCAAAGTCTGTCCAGAGCTGGCAGTTACCTTCATGGTGTGTATTCCTTTTCCACAGAGTCTGTGTCTCTGCCCCAGCCACACTCCACTCCTGTGGAACCAAGGCCTGGCTCCCTCTGGTGGACATCAGAGAGAGACATCCCTGCTGAGGC